ACACTTGGTTTACTAAAGAGGCTAGTCAAATTCTAGTCCCTCGACTATTAAATTTCAAGATTTTTAGAAAGAAATTACCAAGGAAGACTAGGATTAATTTCTTAATTAATCCCAATTAGCATTTAGATTTACGGGGTGTCATACCTCCCCTTGCGGGATTGACTAATCGGCAATCACAAACACAATCGAAACCCAATCCTACCCGCCTTTCTCTCTTTGAGTAAATTCCTATTTCCCGATCTACCTTTCTTAGTTTCAAGTTCTTTTCCAATTCCCTTTCAAACCAACAACGTCAGTCCACCTTCCCGAATTGAGCCTTCAAGTGTCTAGTCTACCTTACCTTTTCTTAGGTCCAACTTCCAAGTTGTCATTCGTCGAGTGAGCGACACTCGGGGTGGTTCTAACTTCCCGTTTTACCATCTATCCATAACAATCCCAATCACACACAACTTCAATCTTTTGACCACGCTTTCGAGAACCACAACCATAAGCGGAGAGATCACGGTCAGGTCTTTTCGCGAATTAAAATCTCAGGTAATAATTTTGGGTCAAAAGTTGGATCAAGTTTGGGATAAATATAATATAAAAATCATAGAATTAGGCCCGGTACATTTTAAAAACATTTTTTGGTTGAAAACAATTCAATCAGATTCACAGGTTCCTCTCAGATAGACTTTTAAGTAAGATTTTTGGCCAAATAAATATATCTCTCATGTAGGGCTTCCAAAACCATAATTAATTACATAAATAATGTATATTAAAACTTTAGAAGATATGATTTAAAATATTAAATTTGAATTCGTAGGAAAAATCGGCGTAGGAGTAGAAATAGAAATTTTGATTTTGAAACATTTGAATATAATAGGAGTTTAGGTAAAATGAATTTTTTGGAGTCTCACAAAGAGTGTGCTATGCCTGAGATATTGGTTGATGAGGGAAAGAGCTATGTCTGGAAGGACTGGAAAAAGCCTTCTATGCCTGAGAAAGAGCCTACTATGCCTGAGATATTGGTTGATGAGAAGGCAGGACTGGGAAAGGGCCTGCTGAGGAGAAAGGCATGGGAAAGGGCCTGCTGAGGAGGAAGGCCCCAAAAAGTGCTATGCCTGAGATACTTTTTTTTTTTTTTTTTTTTTTTTATTTTGGTGTAAACCACGAGGTGGTCTGGGTCTTTCTCTGTCCGTTTAACGGTCCAAGTCCACCCGACTAATCCTCGTTCGCTCCGGGAGGCACGGGAGCTGGCCCAAAAGGAATCATCACTTGTGGGATCGAACCCAGGTTATCCCGAAATTCTCCCCCATTAAGAAAGCTCATTTGCCACTTGAGCTACCCTATTAGGTTCTATGCTTGAGATACTAGTTGATGAGAAGGAAAGCCCCAAAAATTATGTGTATGAGATTGAAACCTTATACCTCATGACTCATACTTCAACTAGTCTCATTCCAACTCTGCTAGATTAACCTTTATTACTTATAGTGCTCCAAAATAATTTAAGCTAAATTCCCGCTCAATACTTCTTACCAAATTAATTCTTCAAGACTTGGTAATTTTTGCTTGCATATACGGACTAATCCTAGATTCAAATAAAATAAAATTGGGGATTTCTAATTTTTCAAAATACAATTTTGGCTCATCAAAATCTTACAATTATTCCTAACAAAACTTACGAGTGAAGTTTAGAATCGTATAATGTTTACTTATTTTTTATTATTTATTTTGTTTTTGTTAATTTTTCTTAAGTTTTGAGTTTTAACAGGAAGAAGAAGAACAATAGGAACTTGGAACTAGGAAATTAGTTGGAATGTTGGATACTTGGATGAGGATCAGTTGGATCACTGGATGACTTATTGAAGTCTGAAGATGAATACTTGGATGCAAATTGTAATCAGTTTTGTAAATTGTACTCCGTATGTACTAAGTAACTTGAAGTCTTGAACAGTTGAACTCTTCTTGTCTTGTAGTATGCCAGTATGTTTTGTATAATTGCAGTAACTTAGTGGAAATGTAGAAATGTGGAATAGTAGTTTTTTTTTTTTAATGTACATAGTATTTTAATAACTCTAATTCACTTAAGGGTTTATTTGGAAACCCGGAAAATAATTTCTGAAAAATGTTTTCTGAAATTGACTAATGTTTTCTGGAAATAAGTCATTTTCAGAAAATATTTTCCTTTCTCGTGTTTAGTTACATTCTAAAAAACTGTATTAATTTGTTTGGTTCATTTTTTTAAAAAATGGATAGAATTGTATAATTAAACATTTTAAATATTTTATTTAAAATATATAAATATTTTATAATAATTATCAAATTAGCCAGAAAAAGATTCATAATACAGACTGTTTCTCAAAGTGGAAAAATCAACAAATCAAAAAAAAAAAAAAAAAAAAAAAAAAAAAAAAAAAAGAAGAAGATGCCCATGAGTATGGTTTCCGCCGAAAATCAGCGAAAACATGCTTTCACTTGTCGTTTGGTTGGAAGGAAGAAATTAAGCGGGAAAGGAATTGTACTTCGGTGGGAAAAGAATAAGGTGGGAATAAAGTAGGAATTACAATTACATTGTTTGGTAGGGAGAAATAATGGAAATGAGAGAAGTGATATAAAAACCAAAATACCCTTATGTAATAATGTTCAAAGGGCAAGTATGTCATTTCCTTCCTTTTCCCTTTTCATTGTATGGATGAATTCATTGAATTGCAATTTATAGGGGACCTATGAATTGCAATTCAATGAATTGAGAAAATTGCAATTCCATGGAATTGCAATTCCCACTAACCAAACAATGTAGTTTATCATTTCATTGAATTACAATTCAATGTCAATGCAATTCATGCCAACCAAACACCCCATCACTGTTGGTGAAAGTTTCTCCCCAGTCAACGGAATATGTTTTCCGTTGACTGAACTTTCCTTGTGCATCTAATCTAGGGATGACAATTCTACCCGCACTCAATGGGTTCCCCGCATCCCCGCCCCTACGGGTTTTAAAATACCCGCACAATTTGAGTAATGGGTGCAGGTATGAGGAGAGTTTTGTATACCCGCGCGGTAGGGGTGTAAACGAGCAGAGCCGAGCCGAGCTCGAACTTGGGTAGGCTCGAGCTCGAGCTCGAGTTCGATCGAGCTCAAGAACTGATGCTCGAGCTCGAGCTCGAACTCGATCTTGAACTTTTTAATTGTTATTTTTATATATTATAATTAAATTATGTTATATTATATATTATAAATATTATATATTATACGGCTCGCGAGCTGCTCGACGAGCCACGAGCCTAGAATATCTAGGCTGGGCTCGAGCTCGATTATCAAACGAGTTGCTCGAGCTTGGCTCGAGCTCGATTTTGACCGAGCTCGTGCCGAGCTTTGACCAAGTCGCTCACGAGTGGCTCGTGAGCGGCTTGGCTCATTTACACCCCTACTGCGCGAGTATGGGGACGGATGCGGAGAGAGGTATCCCTGCCATGCACCCGCACCTATATATATTGTTATTAGTATTCATTTACATATATAAGTTTATGTATATTTTATAATTAAAAATGCATAATGAATTAAATTCTTAGTTTTTTGTTAATGAAAATTGAATAGAAACAACACAAATAATATAATGAGTAAACACTTAATACAATTTATACTACCAACACAATTTTAGTTCCAATTAAAGATTAACTTCATTGACTGTTATTAAATTTTAGAGTTATGTTCAAACTTATAAACAAAATCCATGTAATAAACTGATAATTATAATTGTAGTATAACATTTTTATTAGATTTAAGTGTAATATTAATAATCAGAGTTGCGAGTTGGGAGTTGGGTATTACCCGCATTCGTAAAATCTCAGCGGGGACGGGTATGGGGTAGGAATTTCATTACCCGTGCGGGTGCGAGTGCGGGGAGTGGGTTGGGAATGCGGGTGCGAGGACGGAGGATATATCCCCCCACCCACTCTGCCCCATTGCCATTCCTAATCTAAACACAAAGAATTCGAAAAACATTTTTTAGAAGTCATTTTACGAGTTTCTAAACGGATCCTTAATTCTATTTTGTAATGCAACAGTAGACGGTAATTTGTTAACTTATTTTGTAATTTTTTTAACTTTTAAATTTTTAAGTATTTTGTTCAATAATTTAATTTTTTTTTTTTTTAATTTGCCTGTCCGAATTGATTTCAAATATCCGACCAATCCGACCACATTCGAATTATGATAAAACCAAAGTGATATTTCATATCATAAAATGAAATTGAATTTTAAAATTACAAACTGAAATCCGATTGGATTGACCCTCCGAACATCCGATCTGATTTGATCCGATCCGACGATATTCAGGCCTAAAATGTTATAACATATTATAATTTTAAAATTTCAAATCTTTAATTGGGAATGGCATACTCCTGTATTTTTTGCACTTTTAGTCTCACTACTATGATGTCACTAACAATTTTGATCTACGACTTTTAAAATTTGTAGAATTGTCACGATTATGACTTTCTTAGCAAATTTGGTCCTTCCGATGCATTTTTCGTTTAATTTTTCAGAAAAATTTACTCCCCATTTTAACATGGATAATATTGTCTAATTATTGCAGTATTGTGAAATTTTAGGCTAAAAATTATTGAGAAATTGCAGGCTTAGTTAAAAAAAATTGACGTTTAGCGATGAAGGTGAAACTGAAAGTTTCATTAAATTGAAATTGGGTGACTTTTAATTCAATCAGCGTACCATTGGCTGTGTTTATTTATTTATTTATGTCATTAGTTTGTGAGATGGAAAAAACAATATTACTCATGTTAAAATTGAGAGTAAAATTTTTTGGCAAAAATTGAACGAAAAATGCACTGAAATGACCAAATTTACTAAGAAAGTCACAGTCGTAGATCAATTTTACAAGTATTAAAAATCGTAGATCAAAATTGTTAATAACACTATAGTCGTGGGACCAAGAGTGCAAAAAACTAATATTTATACGGAGTATATAACATACAAAGTACAAACTAGGACTGTTTGACAATTATCTCTTTCCCAAACTATCGACGAATTCCAAATACCCTATCATAAAACCAACCCTACGAAGTCCACCAGCTATCTTCTGTGAAAATGTCAGCTTCGAGATTTTTTGGTTCCTTCGGAGCATCAATTTTCCGGAGCCGCCACCACTCCTGGGCAGCTCCTCGGCCTCCCATCCGCTTCGCCAACCCCCACCGCTATTGCTCGTCCGCGGTAGCTTCCGACTTTGCTCATGCAGTTCCGGTTAGCTCTGAGAATCCCGCCAATGCTCGGAACCACCCTTGGCCGGAATGGACTAGCTTTGTTGACTGTTTGAAAACCAAAGGGTACTTAACGGAAAGTAGAACTGCTTCATCTCCGGGTGATATCGCGAGCGAAGGAAATGGGAACGAGTTAGCTTATGCGGATATGAATATACTGAAAAATGCTTGTCTCAACTTCAGTCGTGACCGTTTCGACATTCTAAAGTAAGCTTTCTTCAACTCTATCATGTTTGCTCTACCTTTTTGTTATGCACTTGTGCCTTAAATATATCGGTTCTCAAGAAACTGCTCAGCATTATTATAAAAGAAACAGGGAAATTCAAAATTCTAATTCGGAGAGGATGGTTTCAATCTCAAACTGTAACATGCTACCTAAAAGATTTAAACTTTTTTAAAATTCGTATGAATTTTCCATCCTTGGGGCAATATGCATATTTGTTTGGTGCCAATTTGAGTATTTTGTAATTGGTTTTACCCAAGCAAGTAAACTTTCGAAAATAAACAGGAGTGCTTATAATGTAGTAGTCAAAATATCAGAGTTGTGAGATTAAAGATAAATTGCAAGCCGGCAAAAGGTAAAAAAGAATTGCTTGATTTATGAGAATTAATAACCAAAAAAGAAAGAAAAATGCAATATTATAGAACTTCATAAATAACTCTTCAGTTTGCTTATATCTGGTTCATAAATAACTCTTCAGTTTGCTTATATCTGGTGGGCTGAGTAAAATTTAACTGTTGTAGTTGTTAAATAATGACTCAAAGTTGGAAAATTTTAATTTCCTAATTATTCTTCACCAAACTTTCTAAATAAGTGTGTTTGACTGCTCTTCACAAGTGAAATCTTTTGGTTTTCTTGAAGAATGTTGTCTACCGAAGATATGCAAGCAGTTGTAGAAAAGGGATGTCCTAATCTATTTCGGAAGGCTGTTAATTCAGCAAAAAGATTGAGAGTCTATCTACAGCTCGATGAAGGACATGTATGTCGCCTGTTATATTTCCTTTGTTTTTATTTATTTATTTTTTACTTTTATAAATCGTCAGCTTTGTTTGAGGAAAATTTATGTAGTGCAAATCTAGAGTCTTATGAGTTTATTAGTAAAATAGTTCTTTTGTAGCTTAAGAAAAGCATGTATGTGCAGGCATGTGGTGCATGCAATTTGCGGGGTTCATGTGATAGGGCCTATGTGTTATTAAAAGAACTTGAAGGAGATGCACGTACAGTGGATATTGTACGCATCCTGTTGTTGTATGCGCTGGATCCACTGGTGATTTCAGGGGGAGAGAAGCCTCCTGGTAGAGAGCTTATTGATGCATCTGTAAGAAAATTGCTGTTGGAGTTGATTGAGCTAAGCGAAACACCTATAGATCCGAAAATAACAAAACCTACTCCCAAAGCTTTTTTGGAAAAGAAGCGCACTTCTGATTCCATAGTAGATGAAGGCTTGGAAAGCAATGAATTGAAAAATGGACATTTGATGAGGCGTGAGTAAGTCTCTCTAAAGCTCTTTCTGTGGACAAAGAAGCAATTTTATCTCTTTTTTTTTTTTTTGTTTTGTTTTTGTTTTTGTTTTTTTTTTTTTTTTTGTTTTTTAAATCAAAGAATGCAATTAAGAAAGAGAAAAATAAAAATGTAGTAATGGCTTAAAATGGACCATGGCTGTCTAAGTGGAAGAGAAAGGACTTCAATTGGGGAGGGGGTAACCTGAAACATGTTGTCATAAAGGCCACGAGAACTAGAATATTTTCGCTCAGAGATGGAGATGGCTTTGTACTAGCGGAACCATTTCTTTTTCTCCTAAAAACGGGTGTGTGCCAGTGCAATATAATCCTGAAAGATTAACAGCGTATGCCTATTTCTTTCACCTTATTTGCTCATCATAATGATCTGCATCATATGAGTTGAACTCTCAAAAGCAGGTGGTTTTGTGTTAATTGTGCAATGCCATTGCATAATGTTTAATGTTTCTGTAGGATAAATACACATAGAAAGGTTGGCAAGGATGATGTTAAAATGAAAAAAGGAGATTGGATATGCTCTGGGTAAGTTCTAGATTACGTTCACTTTATTTATTTATTTATTTATTTTTTTATTTTAAATTGTAATTTTCATATACTTCATAGCTTTCTTTTTCCATATTGTGGTTTTAGTGGTGTTTCTTTAAGATGGCATGTATCAAAATTTATGTTGTATATATCAAAGAGACTAATGGCTAAACATTTCACATGTGATATTACCACTATATTGTATACATTATATACTCACCGTTTCGAGCATAAAATTAAAAGGCAAAAAAAAAAAAAAATAAATAAAGAAAAGAATAAGAAGCTTACTTCTACTGTCATATTTTCCTTACCCCCCACCCCCTCTTTCTTGGTTTTAGAATGTCCTAATTTTCCTTCCATTTTCTCTTCTTGTCACTGTCTTAATTAGATATTTAGATTTATAATATTCCATTAATGTTTGCTTAAATGAAACTTCCATATATAAATGCAGTTAGCTTCTGCTGTTTTTCTCATATACACTTTTATGCTTATACCCTATTTTGCATTCCTATATCTTTTCACTTACTTCCCAAGTAATGCCACAGCAAGATGTGCAAGGCTCACTATACAATGTATTTTACAATTTCCTACAGGTGCAACTTTATAAACTTCTCCAGGAATATGCAATGCTTGAAATGCAGAGCAGAGGCGCCAGAGAGAGTTACTGAAAATGATATTGAAATGAAAAAAGGAGATTGGAAGTGCATAACGTAAGTTCAGTAAGCCTTACCACTATAGTATATTCTTTTAGTAAGCCCATCTCAGGTATTACTAATGAGAAGACACCATCTTCAGCAAGCCTCTTCTTACTTGATTTGCATGTAGTCATCTTTTATCTTACAAGCATTTGAAGTAGGCCATCATATATTCTCAAATCTCAAGTTCTCAACTAGGTCCACTTTTACTTTTCTAATTGACACAAGAGATTACTAGATCCGGGTAGCCTTGATCATCTTCATTTCCCTGTCTTCAATTCAAGAGGGCAGTGTTTGTTTAAATGCCTCGTAGAGAGCGAGAGTTCCTACGGGCGGCGTTAGACCGTTTCGGATAACGCACTAGCCATCCACTTCTCTTGACTAGTAGCGCACAATCAAATCACCACAAGCCTCCCCTTGCGGGATTGACCAATCGCACAACACAATCGAAACCCAATCCTACCTGCCTTTCTCTCTCTGAGTAAATTCCTATTTCCCGATCTACCTTTCTCAGTTTCAAGTTCTTTTCCAATTCCCTTTCAAACCAACAACGTCAATCCACCTTCCCGAATTGAGCCTTCAAGTGTCTAACCTGCCTTACCTTTTCTTAAGCCCAACTTCCAAGTTGTCATTCGTCGAGGGAGCGACACTCGGGGTGTTTCTAACTCCCCGTTTTACCATCTATCCATAACAATCCCAATCACACACAACTTCAATCTTTTGACCACGCTTTCAAGAACCACAACCATAATCGGAGAGATCACGGTCAGGTCTTTTCGCGAATTAAGATCTCAGGTAATAATTTTGGGTCAAAAGTTGGATCAAGTTCGGGATAAATATAATATAAAAATCATAGAATTAGGCCAGGTACAATTTAAAATCATTTTTTGGTTGAAAATAATTCAATCAGATTCACAGGTTCCTCTCAGATAGACTTTTAAGTAAGATTTTTGGCCAAATAAATATATCCCTCATGTAGGGCTTCCAAGTTCTCAACTAGGTCCACTTTTACTTTTCTAATTGACACAATTAAAAAATGAGTGCCATTTTTGGTCTGTAATGTATCCACTTTTCACTGTCTTACCCTCCAGGTCAAAATTGCCTAATCAATGTTGTTGTTTACAAAATTTCCAAAGTTCGTTCATCCATCACTAACTCCATTAACATAATGGAGTTAGTAACAAAGGATAAATGTTGGATAACTTTGTGAAGAATGTGGACATTGATTTGGAAATTTTGAAGAATGGGGGCAAGACTGTCAGAAAAAATTAGGGATAAAAAATGTCAAATCATAACCAAAAAAAATCATGGAAGTTTAGCAGGGTACATAGCATTGAAATAGTTTACTTGAAAAGAAAAACAAATCGAAAGTGCATTCTCTTTCTTTACTGGCGATACTTTATATCTCCCTTTTATGTTTCTTGTTGAAGCGGTTTTCATATTTTGCCTTGCCCAGATGCACGTTTATAAATTTTGCGAGCAGAAGTAGCTGTAAAAGATGTGCAGGGCCACGCCCCAAAAGGCAGCTAAATCCCGGGGAGTGGGAGTGTCCCTCGTGAGTCTATTTCTTCTTTGCCGCCTCAAGTTTGTTTTCTTTATCAGATAATTTAACTCTTAACTCTATCAATTGTGGATACTTTCTGCAGATGTGACTTCTTGAACTATAGAAACAACATGGTCTGCAAGAAATGTAATCACGACCGCCCCAGAGATCTACAGGCTAAGAAACAATATGAAGACCAGTTATGGAAGAAGCCTTATTAAGTAGATACATTTAAGCCAATGCTTTTTCTTGTAATTAACAGACTCTTGAAATTTTTGTTAGCTGAGATGTAACAATTAACAAGTGAGTTTTATATATTTTTCATTTGGTATAAGTCAAGAATCCTTTATAGGTAGTACAACACAGTTATCAGTTATGAGCTATGCCAAAAAGAGTGAAAATTGATTTGTACCTAATGGGTGTATTGCCAACAATTCATTAATGACCATAACAGTTATGTTTGGATAGTTAGGGGTAGGCACCTTAAATGCGAACCGATTACTTACCTAGAGTATATAATTGCAGACGTAATTCTACAATGTAAAATTTGTTACTACTTCCGTCCCATTTTGTGTCTTGGTTCAATTAACGAGACTTGATTGAAGTAATTTTTAATCTAATTTTTTATAATATTAAATTTAATATTAGTATACAAAATTTATATATTTAAAAACTACACTAAGTACTATTAAACACAAAAAATCAAATTTAAAAATAAATAAACAAATAAGAAAGAGTTAGTTTGACCTAATGAATAGTAAGTAGGTAGGACAGATAAAATGGGACAGAGGGAGTATTAATTAGCGTTTAACTTGTCGAGCAGAAATCTTTGTTTAAATCGAGAGGTCAGTTTAGCTCAAATTAATGAAAAAAATTTAAAAAGTTAGTGAGCTAAAACTATCTGATAACAAAATCAGCAATTGTTCTTCCCCAAAAACTATCTGATAACAAAATCAGCAATTGTTATTCCCCAAAAACTAGCTGATAACAAAATCAGCAATTGTTCTTCCCCAACCTGTTGAAAATTTATATAGGCTCTGTTTGACAGAGCTTATTTAAGAGCTTATAGCTTATTTTAAGCTACTAATAAGCTATAAGCACTGTTTGATAATGTTTCCAAAATAAGCTCTAGCTTCCTAACTTTTTTTCAATCTTTATCCTTATTATTTTTGTAAGTGTAAAATTAAAATTACACTATTGGCTATTTTAATTGGTTTTACTAGTTGTAAAAATTAAATCAATGTAATTTGTCTTAATTAGTTACGGACCATGTGAGTATGAAATAAGTGGTCAGAATGCTTTGTATGTTGTGTATCATTAATCTATGAAGAAGCTTTCAAATGGACAAGAATGAGTGGTGGTGATTTATTCGAACAAGTGGCAGCTAAAGAAAAGGCTAAGGCTAAGGATCTAAACTAAAGGTTCAAGAAAGGCTATAAATACACATGGTTCGAAGGAAGCATCTGCCAACTTTGAGAATTATACACTGCCAAGAGCTCTCTTGATTTTACAAAGCTATTTATATTTTGAATGTATTTTCTGATTTAATTCGTAAGAATATTTATTGTACTGCATGATCAGTACGTGGTACTGCTGAAGCATCTTGTGAAGATTGTTCGGGTTTTCGTGTGTCAATCCTAGATAGGTGTTAGAAAGAGTGGTAGTGGTAAAGGCTGGAGGCCGTATTCAATTACCTCTTGTAATACTCCTTTGGTGAACATCTATAGTGGATTGGGCAGACGTGGGTTGCCCCGCAGACGTAGGAGAAGGAGCTCCGAACTGCGTAACAATTTCCTTGTGTTTTTATTTTTTTTTTTGCTTTCTGCAGTTATTATTTCTACTTACTTAAACAAGTTTAATTAATCAACTAAATTGGTGCTTAACTCAATTAACGTATAAAAACACATATCTTTTCTATTTCAAGTATCACGGAACAATTTCAATTTTAAAGAAAGAGTTAATACCGTTTGAGGTCCTCCGAGTATAGTGATTTGGCCACGTTTAGTCTCAAACTTTCAAATCGACTATTCGTGGTCCTTCGACTTTCAAATTTAACCATTCATGGTCCAAGTTAAGCACCCATGATCCTTCAAGTTTCAAAATTTAACCAGTTGTGATCTTCTTGAAAGGACCATGGTTGGTTAAAATTTAATAGTTGAAGGACCATAGACGGTTAACTTGGATCACAAATGGTTAAATTTGAAAGTCGAAGGACCACATATGGTCAATTTGAAAGTTTAGGACTAAATGTGACAAAACCACTATACTCGGAGGACCTCGGATGATATTAACTCTTTAAAGAAATGACATAATTTATCATTCCCAATTAAAACCCTTTTTCTCTTTCACCTTTATCTGCAACTTTCACCGCAAATAATAATAAGGGAAAATGGCACTTTTTCCCCCTGAATTATATACCTATAGCATTTTTCCCCTCTAAGTTATTGAAGTGGCTGTTTTTCCCCCTGAAATATTAAATGGACATATTTACCCTTAAACTAAATATTTAATTTATTTTTTTCTCCAACAAATTATGACCATAATTTGGTTCAAACTAAACAAACACTATAGCAACCAAACCGAAATATTCCAATTACAATTTAGAATCGAAATTCGATATTTAGAGTTTATTAAAATCGTGAACCGGAACGGACGGTTCATGTTCCGAAAAAAAATAAAATACATTTATTGTTGAATTTAGACTATTTTAAAATAAAAAATAAAATTTTAAAATAAAGACGGTTCAAAACCGCGAATCAGATCCGGAACCGCCGGTTCACGGTTCAAGATTCAATTTTTTGATACATAATTTTAATAAATTGACATTTAAATATTGGGTTCTAGATCTGAATTATAACCGTAAACTATTAATTCGATTGCTTTAGTATCCGGTTCAATTCAAATCGAACCGTGGTCATCCCTACGTATACGCAATAATTTGTTGGAGTAGTAAAATAAATAAAATATTTACTTTAAGGGTATAAATGTCAATTTAATATATCAGGGGGGAAAAAGCACCACTTTTAGAATAATTGAGGGGGCTAATGTGCTTACCTAAATAATTGAGGGGGAAAAAGTGCTATAAATATATAACTCAGGGGTAAAAAGTGCCATTTTCCCTAATAATAATAATAATATAATAATAATAATAATAATAATAATAATAATAATAATAATAATAATAATTATTATTATTATTATTATTATTATTATTATTATTATTATTATTATTATTATTATTATTATTATTATTATTATTATTATTATGAGATTTGCAACAATATTGCTACTTCATTATGAGATGTTAGATCATGATTATGCTAATAGTTTTTATTTCAAAATGTTAATTTTTTTAAAAGAAAAAATGTTAAATTTTAATATATAAACAAATTAATTTAAATTTTTTGAAGATGTCCTTTTTAGTCTTTTTACATTTATCAGTTTTATCAAAAAGTTAATTTTACCAGACACTTTTAATCATAATCATAACAGCTAACTTAACAGCTATTCAGTTTTCAGCTCTGAGCTTATAGCTTTTCAGCTGGGTTCGCCAATCAGAGCCATAGTAATGGTGATTAATGTTTAAGATATACTACCATAAGAGCTTAAATAATTGGTATTTTCTCCATATCTTAACTCATTTTGTCCCTAAATTTCTCCCAAAAGAGTGCATACATGAAGCTTATTTGGTGTAATTTGTGTTATTAGGCACATTCAACCTAACATCTTTGGCTAAGGAAGGGAAGATGAGGGAAGATTTCTAGCCGAATTACAATGTTGAAGAACCCATTGGAGAGAATCAAGAGCAGCAGGGAATAGTTGGAATGGAAAAACGCATGAAGAGGAGTCGGAACAATGAGGTTAAGGTCATTGGCAATGCACGGGTAGCTTCACACGCATGCATGGAGGCGGGTATCTCCATTCACGGACTCACGGTCCACTTCATGGGTGTGAGCTTGCCTGTCTCCGCACATTACGGGTGATCGCACGCCCAAGCCGTCACTTGTGCAACCTCCAGGTGCGGAAATTATGTTTGTTTTCGGATCTTTTTGAGAGAACAAACCCAGATAGCGAAGAATAGACTTTTCCTTTCCTCTTGAAGAACAATTATTTTAGGGTAGATTATGTTGGGGAAAATTCGGATAGAATATGTCGTAGACCTGGGGCTGTTGTTTTTTATAGGTTGAGAATGGATGAATCCTGAAGGGATCGGCGACGTGTGCAAGACACTACCTTAAAAGCAAAAATTTCCCAGAGACGGTTGTAGTCTTACCGGTTGTTTTCAACTAGTTAACACCGAAGCTCAGGATTGCAGAAGAGAAGAAGAGAATTGATGAGTGAATAGAACTGAGGAGAAGCAGGGTATTTATAGTATTGAAAATACCCGCCCCTCCCCTCTCAGCCATTCATGCTCCACGATTTTAGGAAGAATTGTGGTGAAAATGCCCACAAGAATAGGAAGACTTGTTCCACCACAACTTAATGTGTGGATGATAGATTTCTACATGAAATCTACCTCTAAAAGGGAAAAAACTCGGAATTAAAATAAAGCCCAAGTAAAACGCCCACCCCACCCCACCCCGACGCGCGTGCGAGCCGAGCCGGGCTGGCGGCGGCGGCACGCGCGTGTGGGGTTCCCTTTCCTTCTCTCTCTACAATAGTTTAAGCCTTCCAAATGGGTTGGTATTAAAAAGGTGGGAACTAGTCCCTTATCCTTCCAATGTGGGACAAGAGTGTCTTCCTTCTACACACTTTAAACCACCATCTTGAATGTAATCTCCAACAATCCCCCACACATTCAAGGTGGCAAGAAGAAGACGGAATTTCTGGCATGAGTGCTGATCTTAATGTCAGTGGTTGTACTTTGAACTGACACGTAGTGACTTGAGTAACTTTCTCCTTTGATAGTGAATTAGATCTTGAACTATCGAAAGAAGAGTTAGTTTTGAACTCAGTTCACACACCAGCAATCACCCTGTAAGAATATATAACTTGGTCTTTCTCGTAAGGTCAACTCTTTGACCTGAGACCTATCTCTGAATAGGTGTGTTTAGCTTCCAGGTTTATATAACCTCGAAGTTTGCTCACTGTATCGCTATTAAGCCCACCTCCCTCGATGTTTCGAGGATGGCTCTTTTGTTTAGCCCCTTCGTGAGAGGATCTGCAATGTTCTTTTCGGATTTCACATATTCTAGTGAAAGTACGCCACTTAGAATTAGTTGTCTCAAAGACTCATGTTTGACTCTTATGTGTCTCCTCTTACCATTATAGGCACTATTTTTTGCTACGCATATCGCAGCTTGCAAGTCACAATGTATGGGCACTGACGGCGTAGAAGACCCCCACAATGGC